AGGCGGATCACTGTGAGTTCGAGGCCAGCCTGGCCTACAGAGCGAGTGCCAGGATAGGCTCCAAAGCTACACAGAGAAACCCTGTCTCGAAAAACCAAAATAAAATAAAATAAAATCTTAAAAAAAAAACCAAGAAAACTAGACATTGGGGCTGCAGAGAAAGCTCAGCCAATGAGGTGCTTGCTATACAAGCATGAGGCCTTGTCCCACGCCAGAACCCACATAGAAAGCTGGGTGCTGTGGATGGGTCATGCTCATAACCCCAGCACTGGCCAGACCATCAGGAGGATGAGCCCTGCCCTCCTCAGCTCAGTCTCCAAACCAGGGCCCTGTCCCTAGAGAAGGATGAGGGAGGAGGCCCAGGTGTGGAGCGGGCCGCGTGAGAGGGCCAGATGGCTGCTTGTGGCAGGTGGTGCCTCCTGCCTTGTCAGACGCTCTGGGAAGCCCAGGGCTGAGTCAGGAAGCCCAGCTCCCTGTGTGGAAGGTGACTTTGGAACTTGTGACCTGGACATGACAGCTCAGGAAGCAGGAAGCTGGGTGCTGCCTCTAGGGTTAGTTCCCTGACCAGCCTTGGGCCACTGGTGACCCTGTGAGCCAAGCAGGGACACCTTAGGCCTGGCTTCTGGGACAGGTCACCTTTCTTACTTCTCCTCTCCTCCAGAGTTTTTGCCCTTTTCCTTCCACTCAAGGAGAGTGAGCACAGCTGCCTCAGACCCTGCCCTGCCCTGGTAGCCCCGAAGACTCTCTGTCCCCCCTCTCTCCTCAACCACCTCTGCAGATCACCTTGTGTCTCTCTCTGCCCCATACTGTGCCTCTGACTCTCTCGTCTTGCAAGCTCTGTACAAAAGGAGATGGAATCTTTTCAGTCTGCAGCTACAGCCCCAGATGTGGCTTTCCTGGTTTCAGCCTTGCCTGTGGTAAACTCAAGTCCCAATAGCACCATTCCATTTGAGAAGCCCCTGGGTAACCCCTCATGACTTGGAGGGGACCTGGCAATGACCTAAGAACCCTGAACCAAGTATAGTCCTTTCCCAGCTTTAGGGACCGGGAATCTGCTGGCCCTGGGGCCTTCCCATGGTCTCAGCAGCTCCACGGGCATAGGAAGACACTGGCAGCTGATAGAGGGGGTCATGTGTTTACCTCCTCCAAGTGCTCAGGACAGTGCCATGGGGCAGGGAGACAATGCAACTCTGGCACCATGGCGGCACGAGAGAGGGTCTAGAGCCCATGCCAGAATCTGTTCACTTGGGTTTGTACTCAGCTCTTAAAAGCAGACTCCCTCCCACTGGCTGGCTCCCCCTTTCCTGCTGAGCTGTTTGGAGGAGGCCTTGCTGTGCTCCCACAGTGGCTGAGTCTGCATCTCACCTCCTCCTCACAGGGCACAATGGGTTCCCAACACAGATGGACCACAAGCTGGGAATGAGGACTGGCTGAGGCCAAGGAACGGGCAGCCTGGGAACTCGGCAAAGATCTATTTGTATCCTTGTGAACATGCTAGAAATAGGAGGCTGGGATGGGGGGGCATTTTGAAATTGTGCAGGTATATAGCCAAAGGACAGGGCCGCCAAGTCTTCAGATCTGGTTGGGGGACCTAGCCGGCCAGGCCTTCCAAGACACCCCTCCTTTCTCCAACTGCTGATCTATTCTGGGCGGGCTCTGGGCTCTGCTCCAGGCCAGGCTGGGAAAGGGGCCGAGGCTGGGGAGGAGGTGGCAGGGGGTGGTGGTGACAGGAGCTGTTCTGGGCAGGCCCCTGGAGAGCGTGGGCAGGGGAGGACAGAGCTGGCAGAGGGAAGAACCTTTATTAAGAATGAGTCAAAGACCAGAAGGATTTTCTCAGGAGCCCTGGCGAGAAGGGAGCCCCGGAGCCCTGCCGCAAGGCTGGGCATAGTGCCCAGCTGCCAAGCCAGAGGGGGGGGAGCTGGGCGCCGGCCATGGGGCGGTGTCTCCAGCCAGGACACATGCCAGCCTGGGGCCATCCTGGCTAGGCCTCTAGACTCTGAGGCCCCTTTTTATAGTTGTTTCACCTTTGTGTAACTGGAACCTGTTCTCCAGCCTCAGTCTTTCCACCTGTGGAATGGGAGGATCTCTCTCTGTGAGCCAAGACTGGAGACCAGCCATGAGGGGTGTGTGTGGGGGGGGAGAGAACTCAGCTCTCCTTGGATGTCCACTTTGACATTCCCTGGGATTACTGCTGTTCTGAAGCCCTAGAGCTCTGCAGCCTACAGCTTAGATTTTCTTGGCATGAACGAATCCTAACTGTCCACTCCCTTCTCACTCTGAAGTTTATAGCCAAGTTCATATCCTTATCCTGCCTTTCCTGCTCTGCCCTGCTGTGACCTACCTTCTCTTCCCAGGTCCCTTGGTGTGCCCATGTATTTTACCAGATACTTCTCTCTGCTAGCTTAATCCCCTGCTTAAGCCACCTCCTCCAGGATCAGCCTGGCTGTCAGAGAAGGTGCGTGGTGTCCTGCTGTAGGAGATACTTTGGGGGATGTTGAAGGGGACAAGTGAATCATACTAGGTCCCCACAGCTTACGAAGAGCAAGGCAGAGGGCCTAGAAAGAGGGCTCAGCAGTTGATGCTCTTTCAAAGGACCAAAGTTTGGTTCCCAGCACCCACACAGTGGCCCACAACCATCTTGGGGATTGGTTACTTTCTGATGCACATACATTCAGGTAAAACACACATATATCAATGAAAAAAAATATCTAAAACATTTTTCTTTTAAATAGAAGGATGGGGCC